GACCCCGCGAGCGCTGCGGGGCCCAAAGTCCGAGGGCGTGGAAGCGTCGATCTGAGGCGCTTTATATTTTGTTCTCGTTGTCTTAGCGAGTGCCGTCCGGAGCCACCGCATCTCCTCGGGGCTCCTGGCGGGTTGTCACTTGCCACAGGGCAGAGCTCGCTCTCTGTGCTCCGCGGGCGGCCGAGATCCGCTCCACAAAGTCGTTCGCTTTGGTTCCCCGGGGAGCCTGCTGGTGCCTTGTCCGGCTCCACGGGCTGAGGTGGCTGGGAGTGGCTGAAGTTACTTCGGCAACGTGATCTTGCGGTGTTTTACTGCTCATAAAAGCACCTGTGCCATGCCCCCGTTATTTTTCTTTTTTATATTACCATGCTTGAACTAGCTAAGTACAGATAACTCTGCTGTAGCAATAACTGTGATGCTTTTAGCTCAGTTTTATAGTGCAAAAAATAATTTCAAGCAGAAAACTGTCTAGGGTAGGAGTGTAATCCCTGCATTAACGCCTCGGGAGATTCTGGTAGGAATTAAGCCCGTTACGCAGAAGTGGGAGTGCAACTAGTTTGTTAGCTCCTGGACACCAGGCTCCATTACTGAGTAGCCTCCTTGTTAAGCAAGAAAAGGGTTGATGTATTTCTACGTTACATTTTAAAAATTGCTTTTAAATGTCTTTCTTGCTGAGGGTCTTGTGGGAGACGTTAGGATTGTGTTATTCTGTTTTAGAATGCGTTCGAGAAAAGGACCCATTTTGAAAGGGCCAACTGTGTAATAGCTGGAGCAGAGTGCTGGCAATGGAAATACATATGTCAGAGAAGTAACTTTTGAAATGGTCTCAGAAACTGCATTGTTTTGGAAAATGAAAGTCTTCAGACCTGAATACTGTCAATGCTGTGTCTTTATCAGGGTGAAACCCCATCCCCTCCATTAAAGATGCATTATAAACTGGCTCGTATCATTAATTTGTAGCAGATTCTGCTCACATTATATTTTATTGGTTTACAGTTTATCGACCTGATCTGTGGCATGTGCTCAATGACAGAAATGTTGTGTGCATGACCTTTCAGCTGGTCAAGTTTTGCTTATGTCAATAATTTTTTGACCCCAATGCAAAATGCTTGCAACAATGTGTTACTGATGTCTGTTGAAAAACATGTTCAGTATTTAAATTTTTAGTATGTCTGGCTCAGCACATGCTGTTGGCTAGTGGCTCCTGCAGACACAGACTTTTTTGAAGTCATTGGACCTGTATTATTGTTAAAACGCTATCCTCCTGTCATTCCAGCAAGGAAACAGGGAAGCATAAGTGATATGATTGAGTTGGCTGAGGAAATAAGACTTTGCACACTGGTAGTGTGCTGTTCTCAAGTTGGACATACCTGTTGTAGATTCAAAGCAAAATGAAGTAGCTTTGCATATGTTTACAGGAACCTAACTATGAGGGGAGTCGTGGGGGAAATCCTGAGTATACTTGCTTGAAAACTGGATGGGTGAGCAGATTTAGCAGTTTGATGATGGGAGCTGTTGTAGGGTGATAAGATGAAAACAACTGCTTAGAAAAACTTAATCTTTCCAGCCAGAACCTTGATGATTAAAAGTGGACAGAATACTCCTGTGTTGTTGGTGCTGTAAATGAATTAAATGTGAGCACATGTGCAATACTGTTCTGCTTTCTTTTTGGTTTTAGTTGACCATGCTCTTGCTCGTTTAATAACTGCATATGCTGAACATGGCCACAAAGCAGCCAAAATAAACCCACTATTTGCTGGTCAAGCTGTTATGAACGTGGTACCTGAAATCCAAGAGTTGGCTGAAGTTCTTCAAGGGCCTCTCATTACTACAGGTAAGTCCTCAGCCTTATCACAGCAAATTCTTTTTGTGGGTGATTGATTGAGAGGCTGTAGCCTCTGCAGGAGAGCCAAATATTGAGTGGCAGTTCAATAAGTAATGAACTGTTGGATGGAAAATTGTTAACTTCAGCCACTTATATGTTTGTTGCAGAATTCATCGTGTAATGAGTGGCTACCTTCTAGCATCTTTGGAAATCATGAAAATTTTTACTTGTTCTTACAACTGCTGAGGTTATACATTGATTTCTTGTGTTGCTGTAACATTCTGTGATTACCATAATACTTAACACTGTAATGACACTGCCAGGGCACTGGGACAGAAGTCAAGACTTGTCTTTTCTTGGATCTCTTAGACTCGCTCTGGCCTTAAACAAAGGAGCATCTCTCTCTGTGCTTTATTTTCTCCATCTGCAAAACAGGTGCTTATTTACTTGTGATGCAGCTGGGATTGGAGCTCATCTGTCTGTGCCACAAGATGCCAAGTGCTATACTGAGTCACAAAAACAGTGACTTTCTGTCATTCATGGTAAACTCTTTCGGAAAGGCATTTTGAGCACCTTACAAACAAGCAAGAGCCCCTCATATTAAAAATACTGAAGTGTGCTTATAAAATAATTTCTTGAGTTTTGTTTTTAAATAGAGGAAAGGAAGACAAGACATTAGTTTGAACACTGAAAATGTTAATGTAATTGCAAGACAACAGCTGAGGTCTTAGTGCTTCCCCCTCTTCCCCCAAAGTGGCTAATAACATTTATTTCTCACCAGGGCTTCTAAACATGGGAAAAGAAGAGGCTTCCCTAGAGGATGTGTTGGCTTACCTTGACCATCTGTACTGCGGGCATATTTCCATAGAAACAAGCCAGCTTCCAACTTTGGAGGAGAGAGAATGGTTTGCTAAAAGGTTTGAAGAACTAAAGCAAGAAGCATTTACACCTGAAGAGAAAAAGCACTTGTGCAAACTGATGTTGGAGTCCCAGGTACCTTTTTCATTATTATTGGATTGTAATAGAGTTGCGGAGTCTGTCATGAACCCTTTACTGCTCCAGACGTTATTCGTGCAGAAAAAGAGCAGTTGCTATCCTGAAAGGCTTTGACAGTGTGCAAGAGGAAGAAGTACAAGGTTTTGCCTGAGAAAGTGCAATACACAAATGCAGGAATCTCACTGGAGGTTGTTGCTGAATTTACCTAGCAGACATTGTTGAACAATAGCGGTACCTTTTGGTTTGTATTGATCACTTTAGAAATAATTTCTAGGAAAATATTTCCAGCTAGTTCCAAACTGAAAAGGCTTTTAGAACAAATTAGAACATATATTGTATGTAATATAAATTATTGTAACATATGTTCTTTATCATCTGCAGACACAAATAGTGAACCTAGAAACCTACGAGTAATCAGTCTTCAAAAGTGAGATTCTCTTAGGCTAATGATCTGACAGCTTATATTAAATGTTACTGATGGGAATGCAGGGTTGGGCAGAGCTCTATGAAATTTTGTGCTCTGGTGTAGCTGTTCTGTGTTTTGCTTTCACCCTCACGCTGATCTGTTTTACTAGCTTTAAAGTATGATGTCTCTCAGGGTTTTGGGAGAACAAAACACAGTTGGACTGAGGTGTTAGCCATATAGCACTGGTAAATTTACTGCTTTTCAGCAAAGAAATGTCTGTTCAATGCATTCCATAAGGAAGCAAAAGATTTATGTACTTGCAAAATGTATAGAGAAAATTTATTCCAATGCTTCTATACTGTGAAAAATTTTCTTTTTTTTTTTTTTTTCCCCTTTTCTCCCTGTGCTATCCAGAAAGATGGAAAGGTAGAAGAGCAGGATCTGTGAAGGTGTCCCTGTTTCCAGTTTTCCAAGTGGAAGGAGTGTTAAATGTAATATTTACCAATGACTAAACAGAAGTATATGGCACATTTTGATTTTTTTTTTTCTTGCCTCTTTGGCGGTTAGAGGAATTTGACGGTGACACAGGTGGTTGAAATTGGGACCCTGATGTACCCTATTTTGATTTCAGTATGACCAGAACTGTACTTGTGTATGATTTAATCCTGACAGGAAAAACTGCTTCTATATGTGATTAGTCTTGTGTACATTGTTCCTTAGAACTACATGTTGCTTAACTAGAAGGTGTTCAGCAGTTGGCTCGGATCTTTGGCTGTGGCTCAGTCTTCCCTTCTCAGTTACAGACTTTGTTTATTCTCAGTCTTCAACTGCAGAACACTACAGATGCTTCCCATGCTTCCAAAACTTTGTCACTTATCAGAGCTGTCTAGGAGTAGATTAACGGAGTGAAGTGGGAGGAGTGAGAGGAAAATGAAGTAAATATAGATTCATTTATTTTCCTTCTCTCAAGCATTCTTCTACCTATGTACTAAGGACTGTGTCTAATAATAATCAAAATGAAACACTGTGCTTCTTTAACACTGTGCATCTCAGGATAGTTAAGGTTTATGCTGTAAAAGAACACCATTCCTTAATTTCCACCTAAAATAGGTAAACTATCAAGGAATTTGTAAATTGCTCTGGTGTTGTATTTCTTCATATATCTCCTTCCATGTTAGATAGAAACAGTTTGCTCCTCAATTCAACATTTTTCTGCTTAAGAGGAGCTAAGAGCTGATCTCTTGTAGTCATGATAGCTTCTGGTCTTAGACTGTGTGGGTGGAGAATGAGCTGAGACTTTCAAGGGGTATGCTTAGGTTTGTATGCCTTAAAGGTACAAGCATAAATTATATTTCAATTTTATAAACAAAAAAGTGCTGCTTAAAATGGCCTAATACTGAAGTTCTCCTGTTTTTAATAGGAGTTTGATCACTTCTTAGCCACAAAGTTTGCCACAGTGAAGCGGTATGGTGGTGAAGGAGCAGAGAGTATGATGGGTTTCTTCCATGAGTTGTTCAAGATGTGTGCGTACAGTGGTGTGACGGATATCATTCTTGGAATGCCTCATCGTGGAAGACTTAATCTTCTCACAGGTTTACTTCAGCTTCCACCTGAGGTAAGAGATTCATAATCTCATTGGCAGTTGCTCTATGCCTGATTTATTTGCAATAAAATAAAACCCCAAAAGTTTGTCATGTTGCAAATGCTGGAGCAATAAAGAAGTTACCTGTGTGAGAGTGTTTTCCCCTCCTGTCAGCACTTCAGCTGGGTTTCTGCAGGAGGCTGCTAAAAGAACTCCAATGAAGGGTTTTATGTGATGTTATCAGAAGCATCCTTGCAATTTCAGGAGCAGGAGAGCATACAGTTCTGTAAATGTTTTTCTTTCAATGAGTCAATGAATTGGAAAGGGGATTTAATCAAATTTGTTTCCATGCAGCTCATGTTCCGGAAGATGCGTGGTTTGAGTGAGTTCCCAGAGAATTCAGCAGCCATTGGAGATGTTCTCTCCCACCTGACAGCATCGGTAGATCTTGACTTTGGTTCTCACAGGCCTGTGCATGTCACCTTGCTACCTAACCCCTCACACTTAGAAGCAATCAATCCAGTGGCCGTGGGCAAGACACGAGGAAGGCAACAGACTCTGCTCGATGGAGATTACTCCCCAGAGAGCTCTGCACAGCCTGGAGACAAAGTTATTTGCCTGCAGGTATTTTGCTCACAATTTGTAACTGATCTTTGTAAGATTTCATGGACTAGCATGTGAACAGAAGTGGTGTATACAGGAATATCAACAAAACTGAATTAATGTAGAATATCAAGAACTGGCATCCTCCTTATGTAGAAAGGGCAAGGAGGATTACCAGGTGACATGTGATGACACTGGCATTTCAACAATTCCACTTCTAAGATTTCTGAAGAACTGATTCTGATACCTTCCTTTATTTTATGAATACTCTGCATTGAGAGCCATGTGTACCTTTCCTCACAGACCACTTTTGCATTTAAACCACCACTGTTGGTCTTCTTTTAAATTAAATGGGTTTAGAGAAGAGCTATCAACAAGGTTGCAAAATATACGAGAGGATTTAAAATTTTGTCATTTTATCATGGTATCGTCTGGAATTGGTTTTTACTCCTTGAACTGTCTTTTATAGCCGTGGAGGCAGTCCTAAGTAGTTCCTTGATAAATTTTCTTTTCTTGCATTTTATTCAACTTGGAAATAAAATTGAGTCAATCTGTTAAACATTTTTAAAGTCGGGAGTAAAAAGAAGTTGGGGCAGAACTGTTCTCCTGTGAAGTATAATAAACATGGAGGAAGTTACAAGTAGAAGGGGAAACATACTTTGGTTAAATAAATATTTTGCTTCCTTCTCCAAGGGTGTGGATACTGAGAAAAAGCAAAAAGGAGAACATGAGATATTGAGAAAACTGGAGACAAGTTGGGGTTTTTATTTTTTTATTTAAAAAAAAAAAGAGGCTTTGGGGCATGTAAGTGTAGGAATAAAAGTTTTTTGCCCGATGCATTTTCTCCTCCTCTTTCAGTGCAGTTACGTCAGTTTGTTTGATAAGATACTGCTTCTTAGATTCTGTCTGTCTCATAATGTTAGATCTTCACCATGAAGTAATGAAACTACTATGATTCTTTAAGCAAAGATTCTTCAGGATAAATAGACTCCTATGCAAGTAAAATTTAGCTTTTCCGTTTTTGAAGGGGTAGGTGGTAGGGAGGGTTTCATAGTAGAGGACAACAACATTTAACTCCGAGCTAGCCACCCTGTTAGTAAACTGACTCAAAGTATTCCAAAAAGAAAGAAAATGTTGCATGGAACCTGAACATCAGTACTTGTGATTGTGTCTTTAAGAGGTCCAAGAGTTAGATTTAA